GTTGTGTATAGGCTGAGTAGATACACCCGTAATCCTAACCGTGAACATTGGTATGCAATAGAAAGACTGATGAAATATCTGAGAGGAACCATTAATTACGGTATCCTATATAGTGAATTTCTCGCTGTCCTTGAGGGATACAGTGATGCTAATTAGATCTTTGATTCAAATGAGACAAAATCCACTAGTAGTTATGTATTCATCCTTTGTGGTGGTGCAATAACTTGGAGATCAGCCAAGAAAACTCTAATTGCTAGGTCCACTATAGAGTCAGAGTTTATAGCTATGGAGATGGTTGGTTCTGAAGCTGAGTGGTTAAGAAATTTCTTAACCGATATTCCTTTGAAAAAGAATGCATTGCCGCCTGTGCTTGTGCCATTGTGATTGTCAATCAACAATTTACAATGCCAAGAATAAATCATATAATCCAAAAAGACGTCATTTAAAATTGAGACACAATATTGTGAGACAATTGCTCAGAGATGGAATTATTTCCATAGAGTATGTGAAGGAAGAAGTTAATTTGGCCGATCCACTGACTAAACCTATTGGAAGAAAAATAGTTCTTCAAATCTCATATGAGATGGGGCTTAGACCAACTTGAAGTCAATAAAGATAGTAACCCAACCTATGTGATTAGAGACCCCATGAATTAGGTTCAATAGGTGATAACAAGTCAAAATTGGTTCTGTTGCACTTTTATGTGATGAATGCTTTAACTGTACCTAAATTGGAGTAATGAGTTTTAAACTCTTAATGAATTCATATTTCTTATGGATGGTGTATCTAAAACAGTGTACTCTCGATGAATCGCCTATATGAGAGTGGAGTGGGGCCGCTCCTATAGGGTTTTATTGGTCGAACCCTTGGAACTCTCATGAATTACCAAACACGTGCACGGCCAAAATAATGCGCATAAAACGCGTTGGCAACAAGTTGTGGGTTGCAATGTGGTTGGTAAAACCTGTTATACAACAAAGAATTTTTTTTGGTTCAAGGAATTTATTTCAGCTGTGATTCTGTATGCCATTTTCTATCAATCTAGGTTTGGTTCAAGTCCAAAAGACACCAAACTGGTGTATTGTTACCTTATAGATACAATTTTTATTTTACTAAAAATCTTTTGAAATATATGGGAGATTGTTGGTGTTTTGACTTGATTTATTCCAAAAGATCATTTAAAAATATGGACGAATTTTATGAAACTAATTTCAACCAAGTTCTAAACTTTACGTTTTGCTCAAAGAGTTAATTCAAAGTTTTATGTATTTTTCATTACTGCAAAGATGAAATTGATCTGATCTTTTCTCTTTAACCAACTCATCTTTGCTCGTGAGTTAAAAACACATATATTGATGAGAAAGATTGCTGAAATTAATTTTTCACATTAAAAGTAGAATTTTCACCGTGTGAGATTCTTTTGAATTGAAAGGTATAGCTTATAAATAGCGTCATCTCATCGATTTCAAAAGGCATCCCTTCAACAAACTTTTCTTGAATCTTTCTCTTCATCTTTTAATCCCACTTAAATATGAGATCTATATACTTATTAGTTCATGTACCCTTTAAACTTAAAAAGAGAAAGGTTTGTTTTATTTTGCCGAAATATTTCGTTACACCAAAATAATTTCTTTAAAATAATGTAATTTGCACTAGTCAAGTATTTTATTTCTTTATTGATTAGCATTTTTGGAGCATTACCCCATCACCAAGATTACGGTAATCATGGAGAACAACTTATAAGAAGAAATGCTTTTGGGGGCTACCTTTGGCAAAGTTGTACTAGTACTACGAGCCTACGAAACTGCTGAATGAGTTTTGGTTTGGGATTATTCCATGTTTTGATCACGAATTTTTACTCTTAGCTCAGAATAATATACTAGCCTACCATACGCAACTATACAAAATTTCACTTTCGATTGGGTTTTGTTGTTTTGATAAATATTTTAGTAGTAACTTGACTGATGGACTTTTTCTTTTTCTTGAACGTCTTTGTTGAGTCACTAATGACTCTAAATTTAAACCATAGGATATTCAAGGAACCGCTCTGATGCATCACATTTGGGTCACCACAGTTGTACAAGAGCTCAATGTTCATCTTTTAATCTATACAGGATTTTGTATTTCTTTTATTTTTCTAATTATATTTCCTTCAGTATGAATGTCTTATCTGGAAATAGTGAAGGTATTCTTAGTAGTCTTTTGTTTATTAGATTCTCGGGTTGAGCATCACTGCAGGGTATGACAAGACCAAAGACTAATGCAATTCTAATTATATTATTATCATTTCCCAAGAATTTCTAAATAATTTTATATTGCTTATTGTGGAAGATGTTCGGATAATCCGGAATAGTAGAATTTCCATTCTTTTATATCTAATTTCAAGTTTTCAAAAAAAAAAAAAAAAGTTTGACAAAATCGGAAGCGAGTCGCTATTCTTATGAGTCTATGACTATCAAATATTAATCCGTTTCGAAGTCCTTTTCGCAATTTGAAGATAGATAGCTTAATCCTTCTCCATTGAAGTTTCAAAATATAATCACAATTGGACGTAAATACATTAATCCTTCTCCCTTTAGGTTTCAAAATGTATAATAATAGCAATATAAATAGGTGAACGGGAGAAATGGGGAAAGTTGGAAAAAAAAAGGCCTCTCTTCTCTATGTATCATTTGAGGCCCGAAATTGGATTTTTGAAGCTTAGGAGGTTGATCAGCAATAACATTAGTGTTAAGACTAATGTTGCTGCTACTTCTTAAGGAAAGTGGGAAAAATCGTTTATACATTAGTTATTCAATTAACCAATCTGGTGTGCCTATTCCATTCAATCACATGAGTGGATTTCATTTGATTTCTGGAAACCCTGGTCTCATCTTTTTTTTTTCCCTACTAATTAATTTTTTTTTTTTTTTGTAAAAGCCTACTAATTAATAATTGAATAGCGTTTGTAGTTTATAGTATACTTGGATTTTGTTCACCGTCCCAACATTGTTCATCAAACCCTAATCCAAGTGTATTCATTTGGTACTGTTACATGCACGTCGTATTTATAGTGGTTGTCATTCAAAAAGCAGCATTAGGAAGTGAATGATACAGCATGAACCATAAGAAAGAAAAGAACAAAAAAATTTCCATATCATGTAGATAGGTTTATCTTTTCTACAGTATTTTTTCTCTTTTGTCTTCCACCTCATTCACTCTGCAAAATCAACTATAGTTTCGCATTCTAAGAATGTAAAAATTGATTTAATTGAGTTCCGGAAATGATGGCAGAAAAACCAATGAGAAATCTTGGAGATATTTGATTAGGAGTAGGACCAAACAAGTAGTACCAGAACTGAAAGTTTCACTTCTAGCAATATTCATGGATTGATTCAATGATTCTTGAACCTCATTTTTTCCGACTACCCGGTCCGTTTTAATGCGTTGATTCAAATGGTGGTAGTTATTCTAGACAGTCTTTGAAGCAAGCACAGGGGTATGTATATGTTACTCCCTCCATCCCATAATTAATGTCCAGTTTGAGTTTTTATTTTTAGTTCAAATTATACTAAAAATGAAATCTCAAATTGGACAATAATTTTGGGACAGAGGGAGTATAAAATTATAATGATGCGGGGATTGTTTTGACACAATGCAACTCAATATGTGAGATTTCGTCCTTGTTAATTTGAAAATAAAACTCTCATGATACCAAAGGTTACATTTTATCTCAAGATTTTGTGTGATATATTTGTGTTACCATCAGTAGTACACTAGTTAAATCACTATTTTTCCCGATCTTCGGCTCATCGATCAGATCGAGCCTTCATAATCAAAATTAGTAAAGGTCGGTCTTCACCAATATTCCCACTTGAAACTATTTCTAGCTAAATAATATTATGCAATCTTATGATTTTATTTGCGTTGTATGAGTTTACTAGACCAAGGCAGTTTACATTTTTATAAATACTAGTAATAACATTACAAATGTCAACTGGCCTAATGGATCAATTTTACCAAAGCAGATGCCTAGCCTAAATCCAAAGAGCTATCAATTTCAGGAGCTGTTTTGTCCTTTTTTTTTCAGAAAAAATGAATGGGCGGATGTGTAATTAGAATTGATAGCTTCATTAATCCAGGGCTCTTAACCGCTGACCGGGGTTGGCTGTGAGAAAGTCAAAGAAAGCTGATTTGGCGTTGACTCACTCTTTTTTTCTTACTTCTTCAGTTCATTCGTATAGAGAGATTCATGATTGAAATTTGTTGCTGTAGTCCTGATATCTTTGCTACAAATTCATTCCCATTCATCCAAATCTCCTAAAATCTTCAGCCTACAGAATTTACTGCCCAGTTCGTTTCCTTTAATTTCTTCAACATTTTTTGTATACTCTTCTTTTCTTTGTATAGAATTTGGCTTGTGAAATTAATGGAAGCTGTACGTAGTAGCTCTTAGTTTCTGGATGATTTGTCGTTACACACTAGAAGTAATCCCTAGAAAAGTTCAGAATGTGGTTAATAAATTCTTCTACTAAGAAATTCCCTGTTTTGCAGGTCAGGGATTTTGATTTAATGCAGGGCTTTTGAATCTTTGAGATTGATCTTTAGAACTGATTACGTACGGTTTTTAATTTTTTGGTCCTTACAGTTGATTTGGATAAATTTATCGAGGAGGAGAAGAAAAAGGTACAGAGATGCTTTCAACCAGTTCGACGAAACTATAACAAAGATGGTTATCAAAAAATACGTATGTATCTTTCATGTTTCAAATAAAACCTACAGCATGAATGAAATGAATGAACTGCAGAAGACCTATCAGAAGTCAGTATAAGGCTCTGTAAGCTCAGAAGAACCAAACACCTGAAGCTCCCAGTTTTCCTTCAAGCTCATCAAAGAATTTACCAGCACCAGAACAAGAAAAAACACCACCCAAAAGCTACTCAATTTCTCCACATTATGAAAAGTATAAAAGAAAAACCTCAGAAAAAGACCCCACAGAAGATGCATCCGCCATTAGTCCATTACTGTTTGCCATACAGCTTCTTCACATACTCCTTATAGTTGATAAGACCAGAACCATCAGGATCAGCTTCCTTTATCATCTCATCAACTTCTTCATTAAACACTTTGGTCATCACATGGCGAAAATCGGCAGCGGAGATGAAGCCTGTTCTACCCTCATCAAATTCCTCAAAATCTTTTATAATAAGTTCTTCCCCGGAGTCGGAGGCTGAAGCACCTTGAAAGATTGGCTCCAACATTTTCATGTACGCCGGGAAATCAAGTTTTACTTCCGGGTCAAATTCGTCCTGATTCATCATGCCTTGACCCTCAGCATCAATGGAATCTGAATCGGTCTCAATCATCACCGCTTTCCACAGTTCACCAACAGTGACACAACCATCTTTGTCACCGTCTAATTGGTCAAAAAAGTCTCTGTAACCGCTATCAGTAGTCTTCTTCTGGTCCGCAGATTTCTCTGAATCAGTGGTTTTCTGTAACTCATCTTCATGGGCTTCTTTTGATTTCCCTGAATTAGAAAAGGGGACCAAGATAATATCATTGTTTAGTTCAAAGAAGCTCAAAATCCAGCGGAAACCAGAACTCATGCTTTGAATGACAGAGTAATGTAAAGAACAAAATCAAAACCAATTTCACGATTTGCGTAACAGAGTAATGTAAAGAGGAACAAGAAAGAAAATATACCTGTGCTCTGCGAAACAGGGAGTTTCTGAGAAGAAGATTCATCACCAGGATGAGAAGTTGGGCAGAGTTTACTACCTGCAAGAATTAAATTGAAAGAATTCAGAACAAAATTATCCAGAAACAACTACAACAATTAACTTCCATTCCTTTAACAAGCAAATATTATACTAATTGATGTAATGGGTCGCTGAAAACTGTAATCAATTCATGTAAAAAACGGATCCAAATTCAAGAAAAAAGGTGTCTGTTCATAAATTACCATCACTTTCCCAATCACAAGCAGTGACAAGCATGCTTTTCTTCGACCCAGCAGAAGAATCATCACCAACAGCAGAATCTTCTCTTTTTCTCTTTAGGTTCCCCTGGGAATCATAACCGCCATCATCATCATCATCAACTTTCGGTTTAGTATCATCAATGCGAGAACCACCAGGATGAACTTCAGCTGGGTTCTTGGAGACGTTTTGGTGTTCTTCATTGACAGGAGGATTATTGCGTGAAGAATCTTGACGCCCCATTGATCCTACTGGTTCTTTTCCTTGATTTCCTTCCTTCTGCTTATTGCCTTTATCCATTTTTCTTGATGCAACGTAAAAAACAGAGCAAAAGAAAAAGAACCCAAATCGTGGAAAATGCTGAAGAAATCAAAAAGGGAACGAAATGGGCAAACCCAATATACTAAATTCTGTGGGAAAAACAATATCAATTGGAACCAAGCTGTGAAAATAGAAATTCAGAAGTGGAGCAAGAAACTGTATGGTTAATGTATATATAGAGGATGAACTGAAGAAGAAGAAGAAGAAGAAGAAGAAGAAGGGGAGGAAAAAAAATACTACTCCTACAATTCAGTCAACGTCGAGTAAACTGCTGGTAACAAAATAACGAATTCAGTAAAACGGTTTAGGATTCTTTTGTAATTATACTTCCGTCCCTCGATTTTATTAAATTTACCAATAGCTTAATTTCTAGAAAACTCGATGGATGATGGATTAGGCGCGACTCTTTTTTTTTTTTAATGTGAATAAATTTTTCTCCGTTTTATTGATGAATTCAACATTAGCCTAAAATTTTTCTCTATATGTATTGCGTACCTAAAAATTTTTACAATAATTGATCTCAAAAGAATTATTTTGCTTTGTAGCGATTAACAATATGATGAAACAAACCCTAACTACATATTATAAATGAACTCAATATAAGTGATCTCATTGGATTAATTACTTTTCTTTGTTATTATATTTACAATCTTAATCATAAATCACATTTATTTTATAAGTGTGAAGGGTAAAAGAGAATCAATCAAGCATAAAAATGCCCAAGGTAGAAGTAATTGCTGAAGAAAAGATTTTTCACCCCAAAAAAGAAGAATGACATTACTCCTTCCACTCTACCATGATGAAGCACACCTTTTTTAATCTTTATTTATACGGTTGCAAAAGTAGCTACAAATTTACTTCTATCAGGAAAATACATAAAATTATGGAGGATGATCATTATGTATTTTAGTTTTTTAAATTATATATATATATATATATATATATGTGTGTGTGTGTATAATTCCGGACAAAGAGAATACAATTTGTCTTTGCAACGTATAATTCCATAGAAACACATGAATCTGATTACACATATGAATGAATTGAACTACAAATCATACACCCATGATTATAAATGAACGTCATAAAAGGCTACAATAAGAGTATAAGACCCTTATACTTCCCCAGTTTTTCTTCAAGCTATTACGTCCACAAATGTAAACCCTTCAAAGAATTTTGCAACACCAGAAAAACAAACCCAAAATTTCAGAAACTAGCCTTAGAACAATATTCCCAGAAAGATGCACATCCATGATTACGTAGAAGAGATCTTCTTAGCAAATTCCTTATTACTACCTCTTTCCTATGCCATAATTATTGTCCAATTTGGGTTTTTATTTTTAGTTCAAATTATACTAGAAGTAAAATTTTAAACTGGACAATAATTTTGGGAGAAAGAGAGTGATTTATTTGGCCATTGCCAATTTACCATCCATAATATATAGCTTCCTTATATCATCTCATCGACTTCTTCAGCGGTCATTTTCCCCCAAAGGGTTTGTCATTATATTGCAAGGTTGAGCAGAGGAAATGAAGCCACTTTGATCCTTATCAAACCACTCAAAAGCTTTGATAAGTTCTTCCTCAGCCTTGGTATCCTTCCTGTTATTTCCTAGAAATTCCAAAAACACCATGAAATCAATTTTTACCATTATTTTTTTAATCAATTTTTTCATCCACATTCCTAGCTCATCGGAATTTTATTTTAATTTATTTTAGATTGTCTGAAATCAATAGCTCTTTTCTTCCTATCATCATAGACCTTTTCGATCATATCTCTGAGTTCAGCTTAATTGAGTCGCATTCCTAACCAATGATATCATCAATCATCACTGTTCCAGTTCATTTTTCTAAATCTAAACTATTTTCTTGGTTGGTTCAAAATTACATTTTTATTGAAATACCTTCGTCGTAAAATAACCAATTTATGACCAGAGTTTGAGGCTTTATGACCTAAAAAAAAATCCGTATTCTACCATTAATTTTCTAATGTCTAATGTTTCTTTTGAAGATTCTTTTTTTTTTTTTTGGTATCAATGTAAAAGCATCAAAATATATAAATACTTTGGGCTCTCATCTCAAAATCTATTGGCAATAAGTAATGTGGCCTTTGGAACTTATATATAGAGTCACTTCTATTCACGGTGGCGATGTAAGACAGATTATACACTCTAACAAAATGTCACAGAATATTTAATTTTTTTTCCAAAGTTATTTGCCTCAACTTGCTTTTCTAATTAGAAAAGGCGACAAAGAAGATGATAAGAAAAGAAAAAAAGAGAAAACACTAAAGTTCTGTATCATTTCATTGTTCTTAGTAACATGAGGATTATTGCGCGAAGAAATTTTTCATTGCTTCTCTTCTTTCCGATCATTATCCTTTCTCCATTTTCTTGAAGCAACGAAAAAACCAAAGACACGAAAAAGAGCCAGATAGTATGCAAAATGTGTAATGAATCAAAGGGAAAGAACTGACAAAAATGATAGTAAATCCAGTGGGATGCTGATTTTAGGAGTAGCGCATGAAATGGAATGAAGTTTTAACAAAAAAAAAAATCAGAACTATAGCAAGAAACTTCGATTGTGAGTTTTATATAAGATGAACTGAAGAAATAAGAGAATCATTACAATTCAGTAAACGTCAATCTTGATTAACCAAATTACATGTAAACATAAGTATATTCTTTCCCGGAAGGTGATCATCAGCATCATATATTATACTCTATTTGTTCTAAAATTATTTTCCAGTTTAGATTTTCATATTTGAACTAAAAATGAAAATTCAAAATGGACAATAATTTTAGGACAGACAGAGTATATATTTATGTCGATTTCTATATACAAATAAAATGTTAAATTTGAAACTCTCTCCCAAAATGAATAAATAAACCATAACGTGTGTGGTGGAATGTTGATAACACTCGAATTAGTGTACTAAAAATGCCAAATCATCAGGGATTCATCAGGATTAAATATCATTCAGATCGATTTGTATGATTTATATGTAGCAGAAAAAAAAAGAAGAAATTATATAACAACTAATACCATTATTAATAATAATAATATTTTGAAAGGACAAATATTCAAGAGTGAATTAAAGTGGTGTTCATCAAGCCGAACATATTGTAGGCGATATCACAAATATCAGAATTGATGCCATTAGCAACACCCAAAGGAGAAGGGTTTGGTTTGAAACCATTTTCACAATCGTGAATACTCTTTTTGGAATCATACATATACTCTTGACCAAGGGGAATATCACTCCGATTAGCGGCCTTAATGGCATCAACGATGAAGAAATTCACAACGGAACTATAAAGGTTGAGGCAATTAGTCAAAGGGACTTTCAATTCTGGCTTTTCCTTGAGAAACTGATTGATGGCGTCGAGGGTTCGGTTGGAGCGGAATGAGAGTGAATTGAGCATGATTAGGGTTAGGCCATTGAGGTTGGCATCCCAGCTTTTTGGGTCATTCCTTAGGGTAGATTCACAGAGCTGGTAATATGGGGTTTTGCTGCACGCTATTGCGATCAAATCGTAGCTATTTTCCACAGCTGCAAGAAATGATATTGCTGTCATTGCTACGATTAAACTTGTAACGCCACAATTTTGTAACATTTTGGCCATTCCTTTTTTTTTCCCCCTTTTTTCTAAAACTAAAGTTTCGTTTCCTATATAATGATGATGATAACTGGTTTTTGTGTTCCAGAGGATTTTTTTGGACACAAGATATATAATACTCCAGTATTGATGTAGTTACTACTTTGGGACTCTATAAACTTTGACTTCATTTATTGTACAAACTTGACTTCTGTTAATGACAGTCAACAAACATCATTCAATTAAAGAGAAAAAGAAAAAACAACATTTCTTTCTAAGAAAGAAAACAACATACTCCTTCCATTCTAATTCAATAGGCCCATTAATACTCCCTCCATTCTAATTCAATAGGCCGATTTAGACATATACGGAGATTAAGAAAAAAAAGTGGGTAATATAGTTTATGTAGTTAATTTTAAATAAAATTCCTATCACACTCTTATTAATGACTAATGAGTTATGAATTGATATGAGAGAGTAAGTTGAAATTAATTAAATGTTCTTGATTTCAGTGAACCTGGGAAGGGTATTTTAGAAAGTTTATAGAAAAAGTTAATTAATTGTCTGAAGTGGTACTAAGTTTTGAAACATTCCAAAAGGGGGAGTGAGTCTATTGAAATGGAATGGAGGGAGTACTATAATACTAGTTGCTTATTTCCGGATTAAGAAGATTGTTGGCCAAAGAAAAAGACAACGAGAGAGTGAGAGAATTAAATATCTAAAAACATCAATTTTTCGAGGTAAACAAGAACATTGGGGAGACAATGAGTATTACTAGGTTATATATTCCGCTGATAAATTAAATTACCGAATTCGATAAATGTTCATCTTCTAGTCTAGTTAATAAAGAGAGAACGAGACCCTTGCGTATGGCTAGTTTGAGGTGTCCTAAATATGATTTGATTGTGTTTAGTGAAAGTGTTAAGTAAGACGGCATATATAAAAAGGGAAAATGGGTTTTTTCATCCCAAAATTTAGGTTACACCATCTAAAACATCCAAAAGTTCAAAAACATGCCATTTACATCCCAAACATTTTAAGAACATGTTACATTAGGATATTCGTTAAATTTTTAACTCCAGTTAATTAATTAGTTGTGGTACTTTATTCTGTTTCTCCACCCCAAATTCTTTCAATCATTTAACATGTTCCACTAACTCTCACCTTATAAGAAATAACTAAACCTAATATGGTCATCATCCATTCTTCCCTTGCTTAGAAAAAGAAAAAAAAAAAATTCAAGATTCACCTTTATGAGAGGTTTTGTGTGTGTCCTAATTAGAAAGTAAGCCCTATTTCATTTATTTTTTTTAAATATGTAGCATTATTATAAAAATTAGTGTTGTAATTGATACAGGGGCATGCAACTTTTTTGCTTGGTATGGACCAAAGTTACCAAATGCAAGCATGAAATTTTTTTGACTAAAAAAAATGTGAGAAAAGAAACTGAATGAAATATCACCGTTAATAACTTGAAAAAATTAACAAATGTCCTAATATTACATGTTTTTGAAAAGTTTGGGATGAAAATGACATACTTTTAAACTTTGGGATGTTTTAGATGGTGTGGCTCAAACCTTGGGATGAAAAGACCCATTTTCTATATAAAAAATACCATGTAACTGACGTTTGTATTCAGTATTCACCATCCGTATCCCGTTATTTAGTCGTAATTGACGTCTTTCCTCTAGTAAAATTGCTGATTGATTTTTATCATCATATAATTAAGTTAGCATACACTATCTCTAATAATAAAAAGAAAACCAAAATATCATTTTCAATCTTGATCCAACTTTAACAAAAATTTCAGAAATGCAACAAGAAACTTCGATCGTGAGTTTTAAGGAAGATAAACTGAAGAAATAAGAAGAATTATAATTCAGTAAACGCCAGATCTTGACTTTCTCATACCAATGTTGCTCATGACAGGGTAACCAACCAGTAAATCGGCTCAAGAGTCCTTTTTCCCAACACTTCGGTCCCTTCATTTCATTGAATTCATAATTACCTCATTTTCTTGACATTACTTTGGTAAGTTTTAGAATCCAAACACATAATTATAATATAGGTGCTTATAACACGTATTTAAAATTAAAAAAAAAAGAGATAAAAATAGTTAGTATTGATGTCTGTCTTATGATGGCTAAGTTTGCTTAATATAATAATGCAACAAAAAACACAGTAAAACCTTCCTAAATTAATCTTTTATTAATTAATAACTTCAATTAAATAATATTTTTCTTCGATCCCAATTTGGACCAGTACAAAAAATGAAAAAATTTAATTAATTTATAAGATAATAATTTTTATAGAATTTCCTTTGTAAATATAGGTCCCACAATCATATATTAATGAATACCTAAAATAAAAATTAGCTTTGAAGATAACTTGGATTTTTGCTCAAGTAGGTTTTGATATTTGCAATTATCATTTTTTAATATTCTTAAAAAAATAATAAAATGTAAATTGGGTTGCTTATCTTGACAAAAAAACAATAAATATTTTTATTAGTAGGGTTGAGAAAACTCATTGATTTAGAACAAAACCATCCAAAAAATTAAGAGCTACTACGTACAACTTCCATTAATTTAACCAGCAAATTTTGTGTTTTTGATGAAACGGGACGCTGAAAACTACAAATTGATTTATGGAAAAAAAAAAATCCAAATTCAAGAAAAAGGTTATCATCATCATGACAAGATTCCAGTGACAGAAGTACATAGATCTCTATGGCCATTTCATTTCATTAGTCACCAGTACGTCTAACATCATACTAAAGCCAAACAACAAATGTACCAATTTAAAACAAAAAACAATAATAAAACACCAATGATCACTATATAAAATAGTCATCTTCTGATTTGTACGTGAAATCGATAAATTTTGTCATGATTGTTGAGCCATTTTATATGAAATGGCTTATTTAGCCTTTCTGATACATGAGAAAATGATAACTTATGAATAGTTTAACATAAAAAGCTATCTATTTTCTTTTCTCTGTTATGATATTCTAAAATCTTCATCATAAATCACATTTACTATTATAATCATGTTAACAAAAGTATGAAGGGTAAAACGTGTAAATTAATCAAGCATAAAAATGCCAAAGGAAAAAAATACATGATGAAAGGGAAAAAAAAAAAAAATCACCCACCAAAATGAAGAATGGCATTAGTCCTTTTTTCACCCATTCAACCATGCAGAAGCACATCTTTTGTCTTATTCTTTTTCATACGGTTGCAAAAGTAGAGAGCTATTAGGCGAAATAGATTTACTATGGAAGACCGACGTTTTAGTTTTCCAAATTAAACTACTACATTCGTTCTGAAAAAATAGTCTATATTGAATTTTCAAATTCATACTAAAAACAGTATAAAATTCAAAACTCAATGTGAAATACGTAACAGAGATCTTCTTAGCAAACACCGTAGTCACTTTCTTCCACAATTCCTGAGAAGATGTAGTTCATGCCTTGGATGATGTGTCAAACTACATATATGTCCAGTTGGGAAGGTTATAGTTAATAACCAATTTCATCCCAACATAAATTAACTCATTAGCATCGGATTCTAGTTTAATTTAAATTTGATTTAAAACGAATACCTCTATGAAATTTTTTAAAATATCTTTTTTGACGAATGTTGTTAGCTAGGTTTATTTTAATGACAACTATAAGTGTCCCTTATGCCAAATTTTATGAAGAGAAAAATATGAGGGACTCAATAAAGTTCAACGGAGTAAATCAGATGACCCAATTATTGGTTAAAAGGTGAAAAAAACACTGTAAAATTCTTTTTCCAAACAGTATCATGCTATGACAATTTATAACTTTTAAACACCGAAACAACTTGCAAGAAGAAAAAAAAATCTCTCACTGCGGGCGATTACACCATGAGTGTGTGCTATCGCTAAATCGATTCTTCTAACGTGATTCGCGTCTGCCATGGCTAAGAAATCGAAGCAACGTAGTGAAGCTCAACCCTTATCAGCTACAGAACATCAAGAAGTGGTAAAGGGAGTGAATCTGAATATTGGAAAATTGCGCCAAAATCAAGTAAGTTCTTCGAGCTCAGCTCCATATTTACAGCTGAATTCCAATGAACTATTTGAACAAATCTGTAAATCGAAGGTTGTTGAGGTTGGGGAAAGTTCAGAGAGTGCGAAAATTGTTCAATTAGGAGGGAATTTGACTGAGAAAAAAGGATGAATTGAATGTGTGGGAGAACTTTGATCCCCAAATGTTGAAAGAAACTGAAACTTAGCTGAGGTTTATTGAACCAATGACTGTTAATGATCGCCAATTTACTAAAATAACTAAGGATGAAGTACAAGCTGAAATTGAATACCGGAAGACCTCTATGATTTGTTATGTGTTGGGAGCTAAGCATCCATTTGCTGTGATCAATGGATTTATAAGGCGAAAATAGGGACGGTTAGGTGTAGACAAAGTGCTATTGATAGAAAATGGACTGTTTGTGGTTAGATTCAAGACTTTAGTAGCCAAAGAAGAATTCTTAAGGCAGAATGTTTACCACTTTGACAATAAGCTATTCATTGTAAATGACTGGTCTGTTGAGGATGGAATTGAATTGTCTACTATCCAAACAGTTCCATCCAGCTCCCCAAATTGAAGCTCATGTACTGGAATGTCACCACTTTGAGCAAATCAACAAGCCAGGTTGGTACTCCTCTTGAGATGGACATGATGACCTCTCAGAAGCTAAGGACTAACTATGCGAGAGTCTTAGTGGAAGTGGAGATCAAAGAAAAACTAAAGGAGGCAGTTTGGTATGAGGATGAGTTTGGTATGTTGCAGGAACAGAATTTGGTCTATGAATGGAAGCCTCTGAAATGTGCACGATGCAAAGGCTTTGGTCATACTGAATCAGATTGTAGAGCTCCTGTTATTGCAACCTGGAAACAGAAGGACATACCAAAAAAGATGACTGAAAAGCCACAGTCGATGATTAGAGAAGCAAGGAAAGATAATGCCAGTCCTGTTGCAGTATTGAATGTTAATGAGAAAATTGGTTTGGAAGTAAATGGAAAAGAAGTTGTGACAGAAGAAAAGGAAATGGATTCATGGGAAGG